AAAGAAAATATGTACAGTAATGACAGCATTTTGGTAAAAACCTAAGAATTCAAAAGTGTCAGGACATGAAACTTTGTAGATAACAAACTAAGAAAAGTTCCTACCTTAAAATCATACCAGTGCTGGGCACTGAAAGCGGCACATACCATGTTCCTGGTTCTGGCATCTAATTTTCATGGCTGAAAAATTTACCATTGTTTTCTTTGCATCTGTCATTTATGTGCTCTGCCTCAGTGCTCCATGACTTATTGCCAATGTTTAAAAAATTAATACAGGTAGGCTTCACATATTGTTGGATGCCTAGTTATCATCTGCATATAGCTTAAGTCTGGTGGGTTTGCTGTTATGCTCTACAAAAACAAAGGGAAGAAGTTCAACCTTAGGTTGGATGTGGTAGCAAGTGCTTGTACTTGGGAGGCTGAGCGAGAGGATTCCAAGCACAAGGCCAGCCTGGACATCTAAATTGTGTAGGTGTCAAAACAAAATAAATCCAGGAAGATCAGAGATTTTAGTGTTATCTGACAGAGACTTTAAGATAGCCACATAACTTTATACCTCCAGTTAGATTGGGAACCAATTGGTTCCCAGATGAGTGGTTACCAAGTTTCAGAGGGAAGTGTGGCTATGAAATGACAGGTGTCCCTTCATAATGTGATGTTATCTTGCCTGTGCCAAACACAAGATCCTGAGTCCCACAGTGATTCCGTATGAAGCAACCACTAGGGAAAACAGAGTAAATGATACTGATCTCTCTGTGTTACTTATCACAATTGTACGTGGTCTACAATGGTCTCAAAACTGTCTTTTTTGACTAAACTGAGTTGTACTGCATGATTAAGCTTGGTATGCCAGACACTTCACTTTTTAGATCTAAGACCATTTCTTTTCTACATAAGAGAAGAAAAGGTGAGGAAGGGAGGGATGACAGAGAAAGGGAAAAACGAACAGAGAAATAGGGAATGAGAAAGAAGACAGCAGCAGAGACAAGGAGACACAAGCCTTTCAAAGAGTGAAATGCCAGACACTCTTCAAGGTAAGCTCAATTTTACCAGTTTCTGAATTGTTATTAAAAGTTATGAAATTTGGGGCTATGGATATAGCTCAGTGATAGTTTTTGCCTAGCATACCCAAAACTAGGCATCAGAACCACAAAAGAAAGGAAGAAAGAGGGAAGGATGGGAAAAAAGGAAGGGGGCATTGGTCATGAAATTTAAAATTATGGGAATAAAAGTAGATTCTCATTCTCAGAGGTTGTTAGTCAGGTAAGGCATTCATTCTTCTGCTGCTACTTCAAGATCATGATGAAGGCTAGTTAATATTTGCATGTTGCAATACACCTTCTCAGACACATAGTAACTTAATTTTAGATTAATGCACACTGTGAGTTTAAGGCCTCATAGTGAGACCCAGGTTTAAAACAACAACCACAACAATAACAAACCCAACAGCTATCCCTGAATACATTATTTAACCAGGACAATCAATACAGAAACATAAAAACATTCTTCAGCTCTTCTCAGTACAGAACGTATCAACATGAACATCCAAAAAGGAAAGGCAAGAATTTGGAGTTGGTGTTAAAGCTACAAGCAAGTCTGAAAAACATATGGAAAGTGAGAGGGCCTTTCCAAGTCTCAAAGCTAACTCACTCAAAGTAACTAGTGATAGATGAGACTCTACCTATAATAATTATGTAAGTGTGATTTTAAGGCTTCCAAGCTACTCAGAGAATCACAGCAAGAGGTGTCATTTTATGCTGAACAGTGCGCTGAAAGAGGATGACAGGCAGGGCCCTCTAAGCACCCTCTGGGAGAAATCTGGAGTGGCAGCAGGCAATGCTCAGATCCCTTCACTTCCTCCACGGCAAACTTAAACTGAGAAACTCAGGCACATAACAAGCTATAGTACAAAAACAGTCACTACACATATGGGACTGTATTTGCTTTTAGTTTACTGAATCATCAATTTCTCATAGTCTTAGAGGACAACCAGGAGCACAGACATGAAGACATATAAACCAGCTCTTCTACATCAGTGACGTGTCCCCATTAAAAGCTGGGGTTTTCTCAAGTTTCTTTCACTACACCCACAGAGAGACATGTACATGCACATACGCACTGCAGTCTAAGACTGGTAAAGTCCTCGTGCTACTCAGTCAATTTAAACGTAAGGCTTTCCAGTCTGCAGAGTAGTTTTCATGGGTAAACTCACCCAAATACTGACTTTAGAAATATTAAACATACATCCTAACTGGTTTTCTTTCTGACCAGTTTCTGCCAGTCCTGAGGGAGGCAATTAAGGCAAGAAGTCCCCTTAGAACAGTGAAGTAATGAGAGAAGGCTGAAGCTTATTAAAGCCTAACCCACACCAAACACTTTTGTTTTATTTAATCCTCACAATGTACTGAGGCATGAAGGAAGCTTACTTCCTTCTAGAAACAGGTAAACTGACAATCAGAAAATCTGTAATTCTGTCAGAGTCCTGTATAGGATAAAATGGCAATGTATTGTTCAAGTCTTCTGGTATCCAATCTCTGCAGCAACCCACTCCTGGGATAATTTTGGACCAGGAAACAGAAATGTCAAGAAAATCATAACTTACGAAATGCTGCCAATCCCAGCATTGGTACCAACAGGGCATAATTCCACTTGCTTCCATCACCCCCATCAGCCCTGGAATTGGGCCGGATGTTCCAATTTGGGGGGTCGTTTAAGTTATTCATGGAGCTATACCTTGAAGAAAATGAAAAAGATACTAACTATACAAAAAAAAAAACAGAGTATAATTGTTATAATTATATCATCTATGCATTTTTTTTTTTTTTTTTTTTTTTTTAGTTAAGAACATATTTGTCAGCTTTATGTGCGCCACAACATCACATACAGGTGATTTCAAGAAGTAAGGCACAGTGTAATATGAAAGCAAAGTACATTTAGATATATGGTGGCTACAATGTTTAATCTTATGTGTCAACATGAGTGAGAGAAGGCATCTCAGCATGTCCAGCTAATTGATCAAACATGATTCTAGGTGTGCCTGAGAAGTGTTTCTGTATGACTGGTAAGCACTGGAGTGCTTACACTGATTACTTATAATAAATTAAATGCTCTCTTACTCAACACATACCATCACAAGCCCTAGAGAATGTGGTTGATCATAAACTACACATATGATAGTAGTTCCATGCTATATTGCCTAGTAATGTCACAGCAGGCTTAGCTCACTCTTGGATTTATACAAAATTGGAATCTCCTGTCAACACATTTGTCAGAATCTGTCTCCATTGTTAAGTGATGCATAGCTAGCTATACATGTTTCTCATTGGTTGTCTCTGTAAGACTCTAATACAGCTGTCCATAGACAACAATAAAACAATAAAGGTGAATCTACAATAGACATGTGCTTTATATAGGCAGGGTTGAAGAATAAGCAGCTTCCTACAGACAAAAATCGAAGAAAAGCAACTTGCATGCTGGTCCTGATCTGGATTATAGAAATCCATTGCTTCACCTTAGGGTATAACTCCCAAACTAGGCTGGAGGCCAATATTACTATGAAATCTGTCAGTTTGCAGAATACCGTACTAGCCAGGCATGGTGGTGCATGCCTCTAATTCCAGAATTCAGACCACAGAGGCAAGCTGATCCTTTTGAATCTGAAGATACCCTGGTCTACACAGTAATTTCTAAGGACAGTTAGGACCATGAAGAGAGACCTTGTTTCAAATAAATAAAAATAAAATTAAAAAGAACCTGTATCAGATGGGTGGTTTCATTATGTAAAGTCATGAAAACATTCAGCTTGCCTATATGTACCCTCACAGATAAAATAATCACAAAATAGTTAATCCAGAGTTTTTAATAAACCTTGTTTAATATGTAAAAATGAGCAATGAGGAGCAATAAGCATGACTATACCTAAGAACTTAACGGTTCATAGAAACCATAGGATTAAAAAGTTTGGTAGAAGGCTGGGAAGATGGCTCAGTGGCTAAAAGCACTGGCTGTTCTTACAGAGGACCTGAGTTCAATTCACAAACCCACATGGCAGCTCACAACTGTCTGTAACTCCAGTTCCAGGGTCATCTGACACACTCACACAGAAGAATGCAGGCAAAACACCAATGCACATAAAATAAAATAAAAATTTACGAAATTTAGTAGATGCTTATTTTAGAAACATATGCACACACACACACTAACTTAAAACAGGTAACTTTCAAAAACCTCCTACTAAGTATAGCTATGCCTCAGATCTGTTGGGGAGCCCCAGCAGATACCAAAAGCCTTGAAGACAGTCAAGACTTCCATATAAAATGGTGTATCTGAATACAGTCTGCTCAATACTGTAGATTATCTCTAAATCACCAATACCAAATAAGGTATAAAGGCACTTAGGTAGTTGATATTCTTTATTTTCCTCCTTGTTTAAAAAGGTCTGCACATGTTCAGTATAGACACACATTTCCTCCAAATGTATTTTGATCTACAGTTGATTAAACTCACCAGTGCAGAACCCTCGTAGGGTCAACTGTCACATTTATTCCCTTCACACCAATAACATCTATTTCTGGATTATAAAAGTCCAAGAAAATAATACAAAATATGAAGCATTGTGCATAAATATATTCCATATTTCTTTCTTTATTATGATTTAGTAAAAAAAAACAGAAAAAGAGAAATAAAATATGAATGGTTCATTGTAAACTTAAATAATTCAAAATTATGTTCATGAAGATTGTGCACCAAGAGAAAAAGTCCTTAATCTAATATTAAGTGAATATTCAGCTAGGATTGTTGGTTTAGTTTCTAAGCCATTTAATTCTATCAAAGTTTTCAGCTATTTCACTAGAAAAACAAAAATACTACCTGAATCTGATCAAATCAGAGCGAGTTTTCAAGGAAGAATGCTACGCATGCTCTAGGAAGCTTTAAGGACAACAGGCCGAGCCCTGAGCTTTCTAGCAGCTGAAATGAAGACGAAGCTTTGGATATTGTTTCTGGTTCAGTATGCTGCGCAGCCTGGTGGAGCTGCCTCTGGTCCAGCCACCAAGAGATCATTTCTACTCACTCCAGAAGCCCAGGGCGGTACCTCCTGCCCATTCCTTGAGACTCTGCGCCCAACAAAATAGGCTCTTATGGAGCTGCAGTTGCTGCCCCTAGGACCCTACATCCATCTGCCGGGATCCTCCGACCCTCTCTGTCTTGGCAAACTCGAAGAGCCACCCGAGTAGCACTTTAAAACATTGGTACCCCACTTACTCCTGGAGCAGAGCCCATCGGCGAAGCGGACAGCCTACCTCAGAGGTACTACCACCGCAGCATTTGCAGTGCGCAGGCGCAACACCCTCTCGGGAGCCAGGAGGGGCATGGTGCGCAGGCGCAGAATCGTCCAAGACGGACAACGGCTTGCTTGGTGCGCAAGCGCAGTCTGTCGTTGAGGCTAGCGGGAAGGCAGCGACATGGCCGGGGTTGGCGCAGTTTCGAGGCTTATTCGCGGGCGGCGGTTGGCGCTAGCTGGGTCGGTGAGTTCGTGCCACGGGATGGAGAGCACCAGGAGTGCGCCAGAGCCGGGCGTACTTCTAATCCCGCGAGTTGTGCTGGGACTGGGAAATGCAGTGGGCCGGAGCCGACAGCTTTCCGGCGAAGGTCACGTCCCTGAGGTTGCGGGAGGGGTGAGGGAGTGGAGTCCGGCCTTCCCCGTCCTGCTCTATCTAGCTGAGTTCTTCAAGGTTAACGCGCGGGACCGGCCTGTGGCCCTCAGGTTGCGGGCGACTCTGCGTATAACAGTTAGTAGCTTGGGTTCGACACTAAGACATATAAGTGATGAGTTTATTGATTTTGTGTCGTGGCCTCACAGATACTGTTTTTAAAAATCAGGTGAGACTTATGCACTGTGTTCATCCAGTCTTGCGACCACTGCTTTGCATTCGAGTCGAAGAGGGACACTGAGGGCCCCAAGGCTGCAAGGGGCCAGTTGGGCGCCCTGGATCGTCAGATCGTGTCTCAGTGTACTCTTTGAGGATGACATATTATGCGACAGATTCCTAGGGTTTTATTAACGCAAACTAAATTTAATAGATTGGGCTCTTTAAAGTGAACTGGCCCACCTACCTCCTTAACAGTTTAATTACGAAGTAAAAGCCCCAACACTTTCAACATATCGATTTGCATTATGCCTGTAATTATTGTCTCCTTTCTGAAATAGATATTAAAAGTTATGCTCAGTTAAATGTTCAAGGGTTAGTTGGCAACTAGGCATTTTCAAACATTGATAATTTCCATGACTTGTGTTTACTGCCGAAGACTCCCACCTCCACGTCTATTCCTTGGCCTCTTAAAACACCCCAAGGAGGTTTTAAAGTACTGATCATGAAGCCTTTTACAGGAAATAACACAGGAGCAGCCTGTATTTATAACAAAATTGTATTGAGCAGAAATATGTGTGCCTACCGCATGCCCAGGATTCACTCCCCACACTCAGGAAAAAAATAAGGAGAAAGCCTTTTAGTGATAGTGAGTCCAGCTCTGGCCAATGCCCAAAAAAGGAGCAGCAAAGAAGAGAAATTTTACTAATTTATATGCACCTTAGGTTTATGCAGTCCACATGTGTTGTTGTCATCCTTAAATCCCTTTTAGGTCCTAGATCCAGTTTAAACTTTGACTGGTTTAGACAGAGACAGGAGACTGCAAGTCTGGCTGCTTAGGCAGGTGGGAGATTTACACAGCAAAGATATCCCACATTTCCTAATTTATTTTTAAGTACAGCTTTGTTGTTCTTTTCCAAATAGTTGTTACCTCTGGCCATCTTGTCCAGCTGGCAGAATTAGGCTTTTCTTAAGAGAAGTGGGCATTTATGGAATACCATATTTAAAGATGGTTGTCACCCTGAATTGCCTATCAGAGGAATGTTCTTTCATAGAGAAATGGGCCTAATAGTTATAAGTTGGGTTGTCTCCTTTGTTACGGAACTGGAGCCAAAAGGCTGTCAATCCTGGTGAAGAAACATTTACATTGCAGAGTTCTTAATTTTACTTATCTCTAATAGGTCTGGTTACTATGCTTATATCTTTGGGGTATTTTGGAGGCAGTACTTCCTTAGCTTCTATTTTGTATGACTTAATGTCTCCTAAGCAAATCTATTAATAAATCCTTTATAAAATAAATTCTTTCACTTTGTTTCTTCTCCGTCAGTATGTCCTCACCTTAGGCTACTGCTCAGTGGTCCCTCTGGAGACGAAGACCTAGATACTGACTTTTATTCAGACTGGAGTAAAATTTCAGTTGAAAGTGAGAATAAGTCTTGAAGCATGTGAGATCAAGCTGTATAACTTTTTATAGGGGCATGATTGGAAGCTTTTTTTTTTTTTTTTTTTTTTTTTCTCAAACCTTAGTTGAATCATGTTACCTGCTAGCATTTTACCTTCTTTGTGGTGGTGCTTCATAACTGTCCCATATTAAGTACCACTAAACAGGATAGTAAGACAGGAAAAACAGAATTGACACTCAAGTGGGGCCTCCCAAAATACAGCTTTTGGTTTAAAAAAATTTCTTCATGAGCATGACTGTTCCTGTAGAAATTCTGCCCTGTAACTGAATATTTGTTGCCATTTGAAGTTTGTTTTTTTCCTTTTTTATTTATTACAGTTTATTCACTTTGTATCCCAGCTGTAGTCCTCTCCCTCATCCCCTCCCAATCCTGTCCTCCCTCTCTCTTCTTCTCCTATGTCCCTTCCCCAGTCCACTGATAGGGGAGGTCCTTCTCTCCTTCCATCTGACCCTAACCTATCAGGTCTCATCAGGACTGTCTGCATTGTCTTCCTCTGTGGCCTGGTAAGGCTGCTCCCAATTCATGGGGAGGTGATCAAAGAGCCAGCCCCTGAGTTCATGTCAGAGACAGCCTCTGTTCCCCTTACTAGGATGCCCATTTGGAGACTGAGCTGCCATGGGCTACATCTGTGCAGGGATTCTAGGTTATCTCAATGAATGGTCCTTGGTTGTAGTACCAGTTTCACAAAAGGCCCCTGTGCCCAGATTTTTTGGTTCTGTTGCTTTCCTTGTGGAGCTCCAGTCCCCTCCAGGTCTTTTTCTTTCCTCCTTCTTTCATCAGATTCCCTGCACTCTGCCCAAAGTTTGGTTATGAGTCTCAGCATCTGCTTTGATACCCTCCTGGGTAGAGTTTTTCAGAGGCCCTCTGTGGTAGGCACCTGTCTTGTTCCTTGTTTTCATCCTTTTCTGATGTCTGTCCTGTTTGCCTTTCTGAATAAGAACTGATCATCTTACCCAGGGTCCTCCTCCTTGCTTAGCTTCTTTAGGTGTACAGATTTTAGTATGATTATCCTATATTATATGTATGATGTCCACTTTATAAGTGAGTGTATACCATGTGTCTTTCTGCTTCTGGGATACCTCACTCAGGATGATCTTTTCTAGTTCCCACAATTTGCCTGCAAACTTCATGATTTCCTTGTTGTGTAAATATACCACAATTTCTGTATCTATTCCTCAACTGAGGGACATCTAGGTTGTTTCCAGATTCTGGCTATTAGAAATAAAGCTGCTATGAACATGGTTGAGCACATGTCCTTGTTGTATATTTGAGCATATGTTTGTTCGTTTTTAATGAAGAATTTGAGTTTACAAAAGAACAGAATCAAGTTAGCAGAAAAAAAAATTTTTTTGTGTGTGAGAATTTGTGATCACCAACTGAGAAAGGCTGAAGACAAGGAATTGTTTAGTCTTACCAAACTATTCTGTATTGACAAATGCTTTCAAGTTATCAACTCATCAAATTTACTTTGCCTTTGTTTTGCTTTTCATGGTCCCAGTGCACTGATGTGACTCACAAACATTTGAAATTGTTCATTGTAGAGGAAAACTAATAACAAGGACAGTTCACTTCTGTAAAGTTTTTCAAATTCTTAGGAAAAACACATGAAACATGGTAGAATAAATCTTTTGTTTGGATGTGATGTTTTGGGTGTTTTAATGGTATATCTAGAATTATATGAGTTACTTGGGCCTTTCATACTCAGGATCCTCATAAAACCAGTGACATTCAGTTCTGTATTTTGTGATGTTATTCCTAGCTTATTTGAAGACTTCTGGCGTAACATTTATTCATAACCAGGATTTTAATCAGAATTTAGAGTTCTTAGGGTCCCCCCCCCCCCATATAGTGGAGAAAGTACACAATTTGGGTCCATAGTCCCCACTGACCTTCAGTTTTTCTGTGAGGATTGTGAGAATTTTGTGAGGCAGCCTCTGAAACTTTGAACTGTAGTCATCCATGTCAGGAGCAGAGATCCCTGTAAACTGTATTTCAAGCATTAGTACTTTAAAAATAGTGAAAGTTAGAAAATTTATTACATTTATTTGTGTGTTCACACACACCATGTAGAAGTCAGCTAACAATTTGGAGGTATGGCTTCTCTCCAGCCACGTGGGTCCTGGGTACCAAGCTTCAGTTCTCAAGCTCAGCCGGAAGCATCTTTGGCCCCTAAGTCATCTGGCTTGCCTTAAAAGCTAACCTTTTTAGTGAAAATAATTTTAATTTTTTTTTAATAAATCATTAAGATGAAGAAAGGTTTGTAAGTGAAAAGGAACAAACTATTATGTTCAGTAATGGAAACAATTTCTAAATAGTGTCATTGTGCTCTGGTACTTACCTCCATTTTTATAGCTGATAGGTAGATTTTTAGACATTTGTTTTCTGAATGATAAAAGAGATTTTTAGTGCACTTAAACTACTCACTTCTCCCAGTGCCAGTAGCTTTTAGGTCTTCATTGTGTGATTTTATAATTGTAATAATTGTGCAGAAGATGATTCAGACCATCTTCAGCTGATGAGACACTTAGCTTTCTGAGTCACTTTGCTTGATGGGAATACTTAATGGCTTCTGCTCTTCTCAGCCTCTCTCCAGCTTCCTTAATGAGAATGCTTGTCCTAACGGACAAGGTATAAGTGACCTTTTTGTTACATTGTAGGTAAATTTCTTCATGTTCATGTTTTCAAATTAGAAAAATTTGAAGGACTAGGAAGATGTCTCAGTGAATAAGAACACTTGCAGTGAAACCAAGAGGACCCGAATTCCAATCTCCAGTACCCACATAAAAGCCAGATATGGCCAACTGTGTTTGGAGATAGAGACAAGTGTATCTGGGGAGTTCACTCCTCTCTGTTTCTATTCCTTCAAGATCCTAACACTATTTATGTCTCTGCAGTGGCCAGCAGCATTCCACACACAGACCCGTGGCTTTCACTTCACTGTTGGTGAGAACAAGAAGGCATCTGCTAAAGTTTCAGATGCGGTAAGTTTATTGCTCAATTGTAAACAACTTTTTTTTTTTTTTTATGTTTTTTTTCAAGACAAGGTCTCACTTTGTAGCTCTGGGTATCCTGAACTCATTATGTAGATCAGGCCGGCCTCCAACTCACAGAGATCTACCTACCTCTGCTGGGTTAAAGGTGTACACCATTACACCCTGCTTGCGAACAACTTTTATTACTTTGAAGGATAATTATCTGTTATCATTTCAAGATATTTGAGAATTGCACATATGTAAAGAAAAGGCTCTTAGGTTATTGATTGTGTGCTCAAATGTGTGTAGTACAACACTTACAGAAATACTTAAATAGATAAATCTAAACTAAACTCTAAATTCAAGTAAAGTAACAAAATAAGAAAATATAAATGAGCTGTGTATGCTGTGATGGACAGTGGAGTCCCTGCACAAGATAAGACTGTTGCTCCTGGACTTGAGGCTCATTTGTATTTAGCCTGTTCTGCTTTCTGTTTAAAAAATCTGAACATTGCTCACAAGTTCTTCCCATATGAACTAGCAGGGTTTATAGAATATTGCTTGACAATTTCTCAGTGATAAATCATCCCACATGGACTCTTCCCCTAAATATAGGCCTGAATATAGTTGTGGTCTGTACCCAGGCAAACTTTAACATGCTAACTTATGTTTTCAAGAGAGACTTGTATATCACAGGTGGAGAAGCATTTTCAGTGCGTGGTTAAGCTCCTGTGGACAGATGTATATGGCTATAGGCATAGAGGTAAAACCATTGTGAAAAAGACATAGTTAGAGCTCATTATGTTGATGTTTCCTTCTGCTTTTAGACTTCCCTGCTTTGGAAGCAGAATAGAAAGATTGGAATTTTAAATGCTCTCAAAAAACTTTTTTATTTTTTGTCTAATTTTTTTTAGCATGTGTTTGTAGTCCTAGCACTTGGGAAGCAGAGGCAGGAAAAAAAGATGTTGAATTTTGAGCCAGCCTAAGCAAGAAGATGTCTCAGAACAAAACTGAACAAGTGGTGTGTGTGTGTGAATGAATAGCAGATCTTCTATTGTCCATAATATCTGGTTGCTGGTTCATTGTCCCTATCACACTTCAACACCAAGAATGCATGCTCAGCCTAGAACAGGAGTGAGGCCTTCTGTGTATAGCAGCTATTCTTTCCTTTGATTAGCTTGTAATTCTAGCCTTAATGGTTTATGAAGTTGAATATATAATGAATGTGTGAATTTCCTTTTCAGATTTCTACTCAGTACCCAGTTGTGGATCATGAATTTGATGCCGTGGTAGTAGGCGCTGGAGGGGCAGGCTTGCGAGCTGCATTTGGCCTTTCTGAGGCAGGGTTTAATACTGCTTGCCTTACAAAGCTCTTTCCTACCCGATCACATACGATTGCAGCACAGGTAAGAAGGCCCTCTTTTGATGCCTAGAGATCTTGCACAGCACCACTCTTCCTATGAGACAAATTGTTGCCATTTTATTAACTCCACAGTTGTTGGAGTCCAGTCAGTCATTCTCACTTTGCAAGTCACTGCTTATAACCTCTTCCTCGAGATCATTGAAGGCTTGGCACCTCATTATTCTCTGTCTCCCATCTGTCTCCCCATCATGGTTCACTTTCCTCCACATTTGTTCCCTGATTAAGTTTGGTCAGGAATTTATCACTGAGACAAATACCTGAGATAATAAACTTAAAAGGAAGAGAGACTTATTTAGGTTTGTGGTTTCACGGCTATATATATAATGAAAGAAGAAGAAAAGAGATCTCCTAGTATTGCTATAGTAGTTTGTGATTCTGAGGAGTAAGGAGGAGTAACACTCACATAACAGCTGAAGAAGCTAGAGTCCAGAGTTGTATAACTGAATGAGGAGCATATTATGTGTCAGAGAGTACTTCTTTAATTCCCATACAAGTTCCATTGAGAATATTTTATCATGAGATTTCCAGATAGACTTGTTGAATGCCTGTATCTGACAGGTGCATAAGCAATGGGTGAGTTATAAGGACCTTTGACAGGCCCAATGGGTAAATTATAAGGACCTTTGACAGGCACAGTGGGTAAGTGATAAGGACCTTTTCCAGTCTTTAGAGGTCTGGAGATCAGGCAGCACCCCCATCACAGATACAGACTAAACCACCCATCAGGTCAAGGGAAGTCTCATGACTTAGGGACTGTCCTGCCTTACTGCCCCTGAGCCTCCATGAAGAGTTCACAGAAGGAGTTGACTTTGATCTCTGGGGGAGGTGGACTGCAGAGGCAGTTGGCCTCACATTTAAGGCAGGTGAGCAGTTGTGTGGTGTTTCCAGGGGGGCATCAATGCTGCACTGGGGAACATGGAAGAGGACAACTGGAGATGGCATTTCTATGACACCGTGAAAGGCTCTGACTGGCTGGGGGATCAGGATGCCATCCATTACATGACAGAACAAGCTCCTGCCTCCGTGATTGAGGTAACTAAAAGGAAACTCTTGGGTCAATGTGTATGTACTCTGCTTGTATTACAAAAGAACCAAACATAAAAATAAAAGAGGGATGGGATATGGCTCTCGGAGAGTGCATGTCTAGCACAATTGAGCTCTCGGGTCCTGTCTCTGGTAATGGGTGAACCAATGAAAACAATACTTCCTTAACTATTCAGTTCATTGAACAAGCTTTTCTACCCCCTAAATTGTCAGTGTTTTCATGCAATATGCTAGTATGAATGTTCTAGATTTCACATTTGGTGCAAATCAACCATCGATATTTTACTTGTTTAAGGTAATATATTTTTGCTTATTTTGTGTTTCACAGCTAGAAAATTATGGTATGCCATTTAGCAGAACTGAAGATGGGAGGATTTATCAGCGCGCATTTGGTGGACAGAGCCTCAAGTTTGGGAAAGGCGGGCAGGCTCATCGGTGCTGTTGTGTGGCTGATCGGACAGGCCACTCACTCTTACACACCTTGTATGGAAGGGTAAGGCTGATTTGGTGGTAAAGGAGATGGAACATAGTTCTCCAACATAAAGATCATAGTTAGATGATCTTTATAAATAACAGTGGAAGTGGCATAGGATAGGCAATCACCCAATGGGTTGCTTAAAAAAAAAAAAAAAGACAATAATGTTCTGCTTTGATAGCTGTGACAGAGACCTTAACCAAAAGCAACTTAGGGAGGAAAGGGTCTATTTCACCTTTTAGTTTTAGTTCATTGTAAAGGAGAGCTAGGGTGAAGATTTGAGGAAGGACTGCTGTGGGACCCGTAGAGGAACACCACTTTTAGCTTGTTCCCTCAGGCTTGCTCAGCCTACTTTTTACACACCCCTGGTCCACCTGCCCAGGGATGGCCACCGCTCAGCGTGGGCTGGATCTCCACTGCTTGCCTCCGCTGCTCGCCTCCAGTTCAGTCTTAGGGGAACATTCTCTCAGTCGATGTCCCCTCTTTGATGGTTCTAGTCTGTGTCAAATTGACAAAAACCAACACAAATAGTAAGGTGTCTGAAATAATTACTGATATGAAAGTATTGAATAGGTAATGTGAAAAGCTGTCTTTAAGATGTTATGTTAGGTCTGGAGAGATGGATGAGGTAAAAGCACTGGCTGTTCTTCCAGAGGTCCTGAGTTCAATTCCCAGCAACCACATGGTGGTTCACAGTCATCTGTAATGAGATCTGATGCCCTCTTCTAGCCTGCAGGCACACATGCAGACAGAACATTACATACATAATAAATAAATCTTTAAAAAACAAAACAAACAACAAAAAGACATTGTTATTCCCTAAGTTTGTCTTGGAAAGTTGAATTGGTTGTCACCACTTACCAGCTTGAGCTTGTGACCTGTCACATGCCTAGAGCAAAGGAAGTGTTCTTTTTTACAACAAAATATTTTTATTCATTATTTGGGAATTTCATATTATGCACCCCGATCACGCTCTTTTCCAGTCCTCCCAGGTCTGCTTCCCCACCCATGTGCCCTCACCTGCATCCCCCCCAAAAGAAAAACAACTCCAGTTTTTATTGCCCATATACCCACTGGAGCACGAATGGTCAGACTCCCATTAAAGAAAAGCTAAGTATCTTAGCCCGTTAAAGAAAGCTAAGTATCTTAATGCACTTTTATCACCGTTTATCACCATTCAGTTCCTGAACTGATTGGTATGTTTTAATACTTCACCGTTAAACTGTATGAAGTCTTGTGGGACATGAGTCACTGCAGGTTGTGACCTTCAAAGACTATGAGAAAACACATATTTATATTACCATTTAGAACAGTAGCGGAAGTATGATTATGAAGTAGCAACAAAAATAGTTTTATGGTTGGGGTCACTACAATATGAGGGTTGCAGTATTAGGAAGGTTGCGAACCATTGCGCTAGATAGCTGCCATGTCCAGATAATCAGTAATCTGAACTCTGTTTTCAGAAAGTAGTGACAAGTAGTTAACATGCAGATATTAGAGCTCCAGAAGCTAGAGTACACTGAAAACAATGTAACAGTATGTGCTTGTTTCATGGTTGTGTTGAGAGTTTGCCTATGCTCTTTAGAGCTCCTTGGGCTATCAGAGCCACCCCCGGTGGCACTGTCCAGTGCTGACTCCCCTATGTGCATGGCAGTGGACTTAACTGCACTCCTGCTACCAGCCCCATGTGGCCACTGCAGATTCAGATGTGCTTACTGTAACGGAGGAGCGAGGTGTTTTATTTTCATTAATCAAATGGCCACATGAAGCTAACAGCTTCTGGGTCGCAACCCTGTGATTTGTGGCCTCACTCACTGTGGGCCTCTTGAGAGGCATTCTGTGCTACGTGGAGCCACCAGAGAGCCTGGAGTGCCTCCAAAACTTTTGTAAAAATGAGTGTTACCAAAGTAGGAGCAGCCCAGAGCCTGCTGCATTCAGTTCTCTGCAGCGTCATGTGCTTATTATTTATTTGTTTGTTGTATATGTACTGCTGAATTTAGGGCGACTTTTTGTGCTTGAATTGCTATCAGTATTGATGCGATAGGAGCTCATATAACTTCATTACAGACCCTAGTATCCTTAACTTCATTTATTAACAGAACTGGATCAAGTTTTTCAAACTGTTTAAATGGTGTAACCGTTCACATTCTGTGTGTTGTTGGTTTAATCTTAATCTTAAATGTAGTTTGAAATGTGGGATCCTTTTCTTATAGTCTCTGCGATATGACACCAGCTACTTTGTGGAGTATTTTGCCTTGGATCTTCTGATGGAAAATGGGGAGTGCTGTGGTGTTATTGCACTCTGCATAGAAGATGGATCCATACACCGAATAAAAGCAAAGAACACTGTTATTGCTACTGGGTAGGGTCTAAGTTTTTACTATATTTAATTTCTCATAGAAAGTTGGGAGGATGCTTAATTCTCATTCCAAAGGGCAAATAGCATAGACATCAAAGTGGTTGAAGAGAGGAAACAGCATGGGAGCCTACCATAAATGTCCTCTGAAAGACTCCACCCAGTCTCCAGGGGATTGAAGCAGATGCTAAGACTCACAGCCATACTTTGGGCAGAGCACAGGGAGTTGTAGGAAAGAGTGGGGGAATAAAAGGACCCAGAATGGACAGCAGCTCCATAAGAAGACCAACAGAACCAACAAATCTGGGCCCATGGGGCCCTGCAGAGACTGATTCAGCAACCAAGGACCATGTGTGGAGAGGACCTAGACCCTTGCTCAGATATAGCAAACAGGCAGCTCATTGTCCATGTTGGGTTCCCTAGTAAGGGGAGCAAGGCTGCCTCTGACATGGACTCTGTTGCCTAACTCTTTGATCACTTCCCCCTTGTGGGGGCCATTGCCAGGCCACAGAGGAAGAGGATGCAGGCAGTCCTAATGAGACTTGATAGGCCGGGGTCAAATGACAGGGGAGGAGGGCTCCCCCTTCTGAGAAATAGGGGAGGGGAAGAGGGAAGAAGGGTGAAGGCTATAATTGGGATGTAAAGTGAATAAATTATAAAAAATTAAATTAAAAAAGAAATGAAAGCAACAGAGAGAAAGCACTTATAGGGAGGGTTTTTTTTTTTTTTTTTTTTTTTGTTAACTAAAAATGGGTCAGAACAATGGGTCAGATGTAGGCCTTTATGTCACCTCATGTGGATGGTGACCTTTCCAGCCTTTGTACCTTATAGATGTTCTCTGAGCACAGGTGGGCAAAATTTGGATTATAAAGCTTACCCTACCTCTTCTTATATAATAAGCCCGGAGAGTCACATGGCATTTTCAGATAAACTTTTCTGTTTTTTTGTCTGCTGTGTATACCGAGTCTAAGAATCAACAAATACCAAAAAGTATTATCTGCGTGCAGGATGAAAATAACTTTGACTTTATATGATTTAATTTTTTACCATTTTAAAAATTAAGAGCTGAGGGTATATCTCAGTTGTAGAGTGTTTGCTTGTCTCTAATGCATGTGGTTCTGGATCATTCTCCATCTCCACCACCATCCTCCCCCCCAAAAAAAGAAAAGAAAGTTTAAATAAACCCAAGTTTTTAAATAGGTATAGAACCTGAATAGATGTATTTTCCAGGACAGAGGGGATTCAGATGGTCAGCAGGTTAAACATCTGGGGAGTTCAAGTAGCAGCCACACTTGTGAGGATGGTTAATGTAAAGATAAAAATGAAATAAGTGTTGATGAAGATGTAGAGAAAAAGGGGCCAACTGTCTTAGTTACTTCATTGCATGATAAAACACCATGATCAAGGCAACTTATTAAAGAGTTAAATCTAGCCTTCAGTTTCAGAGGGCTAGAATCTGTGAGTAAAGGAGCAGCTGAGAGCTCAATCTTGATCCACAAGGCAGAGAGAGTCCAGAGCCACGCCTTCTCAAACAGTTCCATCAGCTGGGGACCAATATATGAGCCTGTGGGGGCCATTTTTATTCAAACCACCATACTGGGTCAAAGCAGTTAACATACAAGCATGGCAGTTTACCTGAGTTCCATCTCAAGAACTTACAGTAGAACAGACAAACTCCTTTAAGTTTTCCTCTGACTCCTACATACGTGCCATGGCAGTGCCTGTGCCCATACAGCAGCAATTTTATATATGTAATACATAGACGTGTACATACAGATATATTTATAATTTCATAAAATTATAATTTTATATATTATAAATGTTATAAAATTATATATTTGCATAAAATTTTAAAGCAAAACAATGGGTGGAGATGGCTCAGAATTAAGAGCTGCTAACCCTGCAGAGGACCTGTACTCACTTAGAAGTCTCCCAACTGCTTATAATTCAAGCCCTGAGGTAGCCTCTTTGGGCATTGGCGTACATGTTGCATAACTTATACAGATACATACAAATACATTTTTAAAAAATCTTAAAAAAAAAGATAAAGAGTCGAAGACTATTGACAGTATAAGTTGGTAGTGATTGTGGAGGTTCCTCAGAAAACCTAAGAAGACTGAGGAGACGGCTTAGGAGACAAGGTACTTGCCACCTACACATGGGTGCCCACAGCCCATGTAAAGCTCAGTAAGTGTGGTCCTGTCTGTAATCCCATGATTTCGGCAGAGTTGGGATGCCCCAGCGTATGCTGACTAGAGACTAGCCAGCTAGTTGACAAGATCTTGGCTTAGTTAAGAGACCCTGTTTCAATAAAATAGAATACAATCAAGAAAACACCCAGTGTCAATATCAGCCCCCACCCCACACAAACACTTAAAGACCTGCAAGTGCATCACACTTCTACCACAAGAAAAAAAAAAAAAAGAAAACAAAAAACAAAAAACCCCAAACAAACAAATCCCTAAGAGTAAAACTAACAGGATACAGCAGCCCCACTGTAGCCATGTCTGTAAAGGGAATGAAGTCAGCATAATCACATCATGACTATATTATCTATGCAAATGTTTGCTGCAGTATTCAGATTGGCCAAGATATGGTCACTATAACCAGATACAACTTATGCAAGGAAAGGTTTATTTTGGCTTATGGTTTCAGCAGCTCATGGAGTCATGTGTTTGAGTAGGACGTTGTTGTGACAAGTATGAGATAGAGGAGAGCTCTTCACTTCCTGGCAAAAAGTGAAAGATTAGCCCAGGACTGTGTATAGTCCTAGGGACATAGCCGAAAAGATCTGTTTCTGCCCAAAAGCCCCATATCCTAAAGGTTTCACAGCCTCTCAAAAAATGCAGCTAGCCATGGAGCAAGACTTTTCAACATGAATCTATGAGGGACATCTGTATTCAAGTAAGATCAATTTGAGTCATGAGATGAGCAGTTTCTGAAACCTGAGAGATAACATGTTGTCTATAGTAATGATACAGTTGCCAAGTATATTTAGTATCCACACCACAAAGAAAGGATAATTATGTAACACTATGAATATGTTAATGAAATTGATTATGAAAATTGGTTCCCAGTATACATTTATCAGATAATGTGGACATCTTTAAATGTATAGTAAAGCTGGAGGAGAAATAAAATAAAAAAATAATTTTCATTATGTGGTGGTTAGAATAGGAATGGCCCCAGGTAGACCCATATATGTGTGTGTGTGTGTGTGTGTGTGTGTGTGTGTGTGTGTGTGTGTGTGTGTGAATGTGTGTGAATGCTTGGCCCATTGAGAGTGGCACTTTAAGGAGGTATGGCCTTGTTGGAGGAAGTGTGTCGTTGTAGGGGCAGGCTTTGAGGTCTCCTATGCTATAGCTGTGGCAGTCTTCTGCTATCTATAGATCAAAATGTAGAACTCTCTTTGATCACTTCCCCTTGGCAGGACTGCCTAGCCAGGCCACAGGGGAAGAGGACATGCTCAGTCCTGAGGCAACTTGATGAGCTGGGGTGGATGGGAAAGAAAGTTCCCCTTTTCTGAAGAATAGGCTAGAGGGGATGGAGGAGGATAGTCCTAGGAGGGGAGGATGGATGGGGCTACAACCAGGATGTAAAGTGAATAAAAAAGAAATTAATTAAAAAAAAAAGTTGTAGAACTCTCAGCTGCTTCTCCAGTAAGTACCATGTTTGCTTGCATGCTGCTATGCTTCTCTCTATGGTGATAATGGACTAAACCTCTGAAACTAAGCCAGCTCCAATTAAATGTTTTCTTTTGTAAGAGTTGCCATGGTCATTGTATCTCTTTACAGCAATAGAAACGCTAACTAAGATACATAATAAAAGTAATTACTTTTTCTTTTTACTTTCTTTTATTTTTTGTTTTGTTTTTGTTTTTGAGACAGGGTTTTACTGTGTAGCCTTGGCTGTCCTAGAATCACTTTGTAGACCAGCTGGCCTGAAACTCACAGTGATCTGCCTGCCTCTGCCTCTGCCTCCCTGAATGCTGGGATTAAAGGTGTGCACCACTATGCCCAGCTAAAGTAATACATCTTAATTGGAAAAATTCTTTGAAGATAAAGCACAGAGTACCAAATAGGAAACATACAAAATTTCCTTCCTCTGTGCCACAACCTTCATTACATGGAGGCAGCATCGCAAATGTGGCCTCCCAGTAGTGTGTGCCACATACACACGCATGGGTTGTTGTAGACTGATGCTTATAGTCACTGTTTTGTGTTTCAGGGGCTATGGGCGAGCCTACTTCAGCTGCACATCTGCCCATACCACCACAGGGGATGGCATAGCCATGGTCACCAGGGCTGGCTTGCCTTGCCAGGACTTAGAGTTTGTTCAGTTCCACCCCACAGGTAGGATGGGGCGCTTGTCTGGCTCTGGGCTCTTCTGTGTATTATAAGCACGTGATACCTGGTCAGTTCTGTGGTGCACTTTTCCTGTCTTGAGTCCTCAAGGAGAGTTTTCTCCTGGTTCTATAAAAGCAGTTCATAATTTTGTTTCCAGGGGTTTTAGGCACTCGTGTTAAGAGGGATGTGAAATTAGAAAAGACTGGGCTCCACCTGATGCCAAAGTTAGGGTTTGGATTTAGAAGAATGAAAGAGCTAATTATGGGAAAAATTAGCTCTTCCTGTCAGAGCCTTGAGTCAGAGGAGAGATAACAGAATTAGAGAATTAAAAATAAATGTTAGTTTTCTTCAGTTTCTGTCCAGTGTCACTGAGCCTCTGGATTTCCTATCGTATACTGTGTTTACATTCCATTTTTTAATGCTTTCTTCACAATGTATAAAAAATAAAATACCTAAAGGATGCTCTTGAAGCTATGAAAAGTGAAAAGCAGGTGAAATGTAAGAACTTATATTCTTACTTAGAGCATGCAACCCATTGACATATGAAAGAAAAATTTAACTTTAAAATAACACTTATTTAGCCTCTTCCATTAAAATTCAGTACTTGCCTTGTTTTCTTTATATTGAGGAGCACAGCGTTATATTAAGAACTCAGACTACACCATGCTCCTCAGGTGTGAATTTGGGCTCTGCCCTTTAATAGGTCTGTGACTTAGATGATTTCTAAGCTTCAACTTTTTTGTCTCTAGGGATGGAGTTCTTATTACCCTGGGTCATCATAGAACTTATGAGTAAATGTTTAGAGTTGATACAAACATAAATAGTAACCATTTGAATAATTTGTCATCTTTGCTGTTTGGGTACTTTAGACAGAAAGTCTCCCAGATGTTTTAGTTTTGCTTAAACTTGTTACGGCATTTCGTGTTATAAAGTTATATTTAAAGAATTAAGTCTACTAAACATACATGATATTTAATCAGAGTATGGGTTAGAGTCTTGTGAATGAGCTACTCTTCCTGTGTCTGTTGTGCTTTCTGATTTGTCATTGCTGCTTGTGACACAAATACCTGCTACTTGACTTTTCTTATTTTGAGTTTAGTGCTCTTTGCTTTCCTCCTAAAAAACAGTTTCTAAAAAAAGGATTAACCATTTGAAATAGCTATCTTGTTATCACTCATTTATAAGCATTTAATCACCTGGATTTTTACAGGTATATATGGTGCTGGCTGTCTCATCACAGAAGGGTGTCGTGGAGAGGGCGGTATTCTCATCAACAGTCAAGGTGAAAGGTTCATGGAAAGATACGCCCCCGTTGCCAAGGACCTGGCCTCCAGGGATGTCGTATCCCGATCCATGACTCTGGAGATTCGTGAAGGAAGGTCTGTGACTCCCTTCTAGGGATGCATGCGTGTAGGCAGATGGACAAACACATCTTCTTTTCTCTTCGGTAGCCAGCAGATCACATCTATGTATTTTAGCACCTTAACTTTGCAGACAGGCACCCCTGCACCTCAGGTTTAGGGTTAGAGAATAAAGCTACCCCATTATTTTCTGACTCACATCTGTTAGCTTGTGATAGCTTTCTAAAGATCTACATTTTGAGATTCTTCTTCATACCAGTGAGTGTGTAAGAAGTGTGTCATCATATACTCTTGGAATGAAAGTGAGGTTCACACACACAGCAAAGTCTTAGTCTTAGGAGTTATATTGTTTTACTCAGTACCTACAGGTACCTTGGCAGGTAACCTTCAGGTCTGTGTGTTACTTCTCCTGTGGTGAAATTGCTCTAGGCTCCAAATGCCTGGCCCTGTTACTTAATGCTTATGTGGGCTTGACATTTTCATTTAAAACTGAGGTGTCTGGTGGGTTATGGGAAACTTTCTAACACATTTACCAAGGAAAACACAGGAAATCATGCTACCCAACATGAGAATATGAGTTTTGTGAGTACAGGTTATGTCCTTGCACAGTATTGTCCCTGACACAAAATCCTTGAAGGGAATAAAGTATTGATGAGACACTGGCCTGAAATGTTACTAAAGATCAAGGATTGTTGAGGCTCACATACTTGGGTGATTTTAGTCAGCTCTTTCTTGCTGCTCTTTGCCTCATGTTACGGTGGTGTATTTGCAGAGGCTGTGGCCCTGAGAAGGATCATGTCTACCTGCAGTTGCACCATCTGCCCCCTGAGCAGCTGGCCATGCGTCTGCCTGGAATCTCAGAGACGGCCATGATCTTCGCTGGTGTGGATGTCACCAAGGAGCCCATCCCTGTCCTCCCCACTGTGCATTACAACATGGGTGGCATTCCCACTAACTACAAGGGGCAGGTGATGGTGATGAGCCCACCTCATAAAAATCCCCTTAGGTCTTAGAGGCAGAGAAGCAAAACCAGGCATTTTCCCCTCCAAAAGTGCAGTGTATTTGATAGTTTAATATTAATTATAAGATGTCATACCTGCCAGACAGTAAGAGGCTAGATTATGTTCTTGGGTTTGCATCTTCTGGTAACAACCAATAGAATGTTAATTCCCCATTCTTTTCCATTTTACAATTGCATTTCCATGTGATCTGAAACTTTTACAATGAACTTATAAATTAGTGATATATATATCAGTTGGTACTTGGGTTATAAGCAGTTCACAAGTGCCATCAACTGTCCTTCTGCTTCAGACTCCTGGTCAGGACAAAGGGTGGAGATCAGTACCACCCTTCACAGATGATCCTCAGTGTTCCTCATTCCTTTGGTGTTCTATCTTCTGCCACGTTCCTTAGTCAAACCAGGTGGTGACTGAGACTGAGGAAGCTAGACCATCCTTTGACCTGCTTGTAACAAACAGCAAGAGTTCGGGAGCAAAAGAATTGGGGATATGCTAAAGAGAGTGAAATAGAGAAGATACCATTTTTCCTTTTTTACTTGGGGCATGGGAAGCAGGTGTGTGGAAGCATAGGTATTTTGATGACTGCCTCATCTGAAATATTCCTGCAGGTGCTGAAGCACGTGAATGGCCGGGATCAGATTGTGCCTGGCCTGTATGCCTGTGGGGAGGCTGCCTGCGCCTCGGTGCATGGTGCCAATCGACTTGGAGCAAACTCTCTATTAGATCTTGTTGTCTTCGGCCGAGCCTGTGCCTTGAGCATTGCAGAAACTTGCAGGCCAGGTATGTGTTCTCTTCAAGCCCTTGAGCTATTTTAGGAGACTGTTGCTGGAAATTTGCTTTTCCCATAGAAACAGATTAGTAGTATTAATATTGTGTATTAATCACTTTTTAAAAAAAACACACTTTCACTATATAGCTCTGTTTGGCCCAGAACCCAATATATCATCCAGGCTGGCCTTGAACTCATAGAGATTCATCTGCCTCTGCTTCCTGGCTTGTTTGCCTTTTTTTTTTTTTTTTATTTACAGTCATTATGTTCTTAAAATACACTATTAAGAAATTGGTATTTTGGATGGAAATTAGTTTTATATTGTTTGCCTGTTATAAATTATTTTTATAGTGAAATAGTCTTAATAGTAAAAAGGAATCTGTAGCTTCTTGGTAATTATGAAAAAAAATTTAGCCTGTTTTAAAAACAAGATATAATGGAATCTCATTAATAAAGGGATGGCATAAGGTCCTATCCCTCAGGGATAGAATGAATTTCAGTTAATGTCTTCTTATGATAGCTTAAAACAATGTATAAAAGAAAAATGTGCCTTGTGTTGTAGTTTGCTTGAGCAATCAGAACCAGGTTACCAGAGCTACAACCCCCAAAGAGCCTTCATGGTAGGGTAGCTGTTTTGTCTATTTGCTCAGAATAGTGGTGTGAAAGAACATTTCAGGAGGAGGAGACTCCCTCTCCATCCACTACTCTTTCCTTCCTCTTGCTAATTGTGGATGCCAGTTGTACAGCTTCTGTGGAGTAGATGCTTTATAGATGAACAGCAGTGATGGTGTAGAAAGCACACACCCTGCCTCACTAGTAAATAAAGATGTAGGTCATCAGTTTTGTACATTGCATCTTCACGCTCCTAGTCATGCCACAGTACAAGTCTGAACGTGAAGACAATCCCTAGGTCGTAGTGCTAGCCAGCTGCATAGGTAGGGTTCAGCGTACCTTCTCTGACACCAGAAGAAGCCTTTTGGAAGCCTTGTACCCAGCAGGGAGGATCAAAATCACTTCTAGAGCAAAATACAGACTCACTTGTTTTGCTTTGAGAATGAGAAAGCTTTATAAGAATATCTTATACTTTTATGTGCATAGGGTCTACAAATACATGTAAATTTAAATTCAGTGATGAAAGGAATAAATGTCAGAACCCAGCAACATCTCAGACAGGATGCTTAGAGTAAGACTCAAAAGGCTGCACGTGTGATTTTAATTCTGGAAGTAGCAAACTGTAAGAAAGAAATAGATCATGGTTGCTGGGCTGTCCTTGTGCTGGTTGTATTTACATAGAACTCTGTTTGCTAAAACCTGAAAAGCTCATCTAAAAAAATGAAAGCTACAAAAAGACAGCAAACTTCACTGTTTTAATTCTTTAATTTTAAATATGAAAAGGTTTGTAATATTTCTTCTCAAGAGTAATGGTGTAATATTTTTAAAGTACAAGTCTGAGGTATCTTTGCTTATAGAGGTGTTAAAATTTGTAAAAATGTGCACTATAAGAAAAGTCAATTTTATGGAGTAAAAAGAAAAAAAAAATTAACACTAAAATGAAGCCAGGCACACATACCTATAATTTGAGTACTCCGAAGCCTGAGGTAAGAAGATTGCTAGTTCAAGGCCGATCTGAGCTATATAGTGAGTTCATGAATACCTCAAGACAGAGAAGGGAGAGAGGAAGGAAAATGAGCTAGTTGTATGCCTGGGAGGACACGTAAGAGCCAGTTCTCTGGTTCCCTTGGAAAGGAGGTGGCTAGAAACAGTTTTGCCTGCATTTCTCTTTAGAAAATGCATATACCACCTAAAACGGCCTTTTAAATAACTAGTGAAAGTGAAGAGTATTATTTCATTTTTTGAAGGGGACAATGTGGTACAAATCTGGGGCCTCACCAAAACAGTACTCTACTTCTCAGCTGTACCCCCTGCGTAAAAGTCATGATCTTGTGGTCTAGTTAAGAGGACAGAGCCATGTTTATCCCTTTATGAGCAAAAGTATGAAGTAACCTCTTATCTCAAGGCTAACAAGTTTCCTTACTAGAGTAGCAAGTCAAATCTTACTTGCAGGAATGGTTACCTAGTATGTGGTGATATCCTTATTTCTGTGTATGTTTTTAAAAATTGAGTATATCATACCTTAGGTTGTGCCAGGACAGTGTTGGCTCAGATTACTTCTATAACTTTTTGAATTCTTGGAATGTCTATGGTATAATTTGAGTATTCAAAAATCTCTTTTTTCCCCCAAGTGGTTTAGTGGTTTTGAAAGTTAAATTCTGTTTTTTGTTTGTTTGTTTTTGTTTTTAAGGAGATAAAATTCCTCCAATTAAGGCAAATGCTGGAGAAGAGTCGGTCATGAATCTTGACAAGTTGCGATTTGCTGATGGAAGCATAAGAACAGCAGAACTGCGCCTCAGGATGCAGAAGGTAGGAATAGACACATCCACAGCCACCCTCCACGGGTCCTTGGGGGTCGACAGCAGGAGGACCTGTTCGTCACTTTGCCTCTCTTGCAGAAGTGTGTTTTTTTTCCACATGGAACATTGGAGTTCTTAGTTCTGGACAGAAATAAGCAGCTTTAGCACCAGGGACTTAGCTTTCTCTGGCACTCCTATATGTGAGCTTGTCATCGTCCTCAGACTACTGCCTGTCATATGTGCTGCAACCAATAGGAAGGGGAAGAACATCAGAAACCCAGTCCCGGGTCACTTGAAAACCAGCATGGCACCCTTGCTCACCTTTCATTGCCCAGAATTAGTATTAGTTGTGTCACTTCATTTAGCTCCTCTTAGCTCAGAGAGGGAAAGAGACATACGTCCTTAGACTGAATCTTGTACCGTAACAAAATCAGAAAGTGGGGAAAGTAAATAGGGTAGGAGCTAATCTAGCCCCTGGACAGTGGGGTAGTGCCCCACAAGGGTTCTGAGGCCCTGGTTTCCTGCTTTTAATTTCATGACCTCGCAGTTCTTCACCCACCACTACTAGCCCTCTTGGACTCTGGATGGTTGTGTTCCAGAAACGCTGTCAGAGAAGTAAAATAATTTGAAGTGACCTATATAGATTCGTTGTGAGATACATACATAATGGAGTACATAGAAACATTTTTTTAAGTTTAGTGAAAATTTTATTTTTACCAAGGTAAAGAGTCAGACTTGGGAGACTGTGAGGAGGATCACAAGCATGCATAATAAGACCCTTTCTATTGTCTAAATTTAACCCACAGTCCGAATTTCCTAGTTCAAGTTGTATAAATTTGTAAAATGTAGGAAAACTAAAGATGTGAGAGTTTTTGCCTGTCTTTTCCTGTGCATTAAAAGTTTGTAATGGTGTCTTATGATAGTCGATGCAGAATAATGCTGCAGTGTTCCGTGTGGGAAGCGTATTGCAAGAAGGCTGTGAGAAAATCAGCCAGCTATATGGAGACCTGAAGCATCTGAAGACATTTGACAGGGGTGAGTCAGCAGAACTCTGAGAGGACACTGCCTTCTTTGGGGTAGCGTGGTGTCTACCATTTACTATAACCTTATTCCATGCTTGCTGTCCAGCTGTCTGTTCCCCACAGTTATATGTTGCAGGTGAGTCCAGAGTACTTACATGATAATCCTGTCTCTCTGTCATGGGTTCTTGTATGTCCCCAGGAATAATCTGGAATACAGACCTGGTGGAGACCCTGGAGCTACAGAACCTGATGCTATGTGCACTGCAGACCATATATGGTGCAGAGGCACGGAAGGAGTCACGGGGTGCTCATGCCAGGGAAGATTATAAAGTATGTCTTCAAGATACATCACATTGACCTGACATTTTCCCACCTGGTTTTTCTTATCCCTACTTGCTTTCTCTGTTTCATTTTATTTTTAACGTAAATCAAGAAAAACACCTTTTCCTCCAAGTCTCACTCTCAAAACCTTGTACCTTTTCCTTGCTTTGAGTCAGCCCATGCAGCATCTATAAACAGAGCAGACCTGGTCTTTAGCAGGGCTGAGGATAAAATGCAGCCAGTGACAGTTTGGGAAATGCTGACCTACTGAATTAGACTATCCGTGAGTCATCAGCTTAGACATGTCCTGAGGCTTCGAAAAGAAATTAGAGGCCTGTCTTGGCCATGGCTTTTATGCAGAGTGTGTCTGTTTAGAGCACACATGTTGGATTCTACATGTGAAGAAGACACAAGGAGAAGCTTGGGTATAGCTCCAAGTTCAGGATGAATACATCAGCTAAAGAGTTAGATTTTCCATGATAGTCACACAGGTTCTGAACAGTTTAGGGTGGTGAATAAATAGGAATGTGAGCTAAGCAGAAGTTTTCACTGTGTTATGAACATGTATTGACTTAAGCTGCAATGATCAAGTGTATAAAGAGAGACTTGGGTAGGCATATCCCCAGTATGTACCAAGGGCTAGAAGCCTCTTCAGAGTTAACTGTTAGGAGCTGAATGAACAGGGCTTTGAGGATTTGAGGTAGATTCTGCTTACTCTCGGGCAGGCTTATGCTAGAGTTAGGAATGTCCAGCCAGGGCTATGCTTTAGCCCATTGGCTCAGGTAAGGAGCCTTCCCTCTGCCATTCCTCCCATGCTTGCTTTCAGTAGAAACAGCAAAGTGTCTGATCTTGGTTTTTATTTAAAGAGCCTCTTGCTCATTTAATGTATTCACATAAGCACATTTTTTTTTTTTTCGGTAGCAATGTTCTGATACTTAATATTTCTTCAGTATAAATGCTGAACTTAAATAACAGTTAAATTAAGCTGAGTGTAGTGGTATATTCCTTTAATCTTAGTACTTTGGAGGCAGAGGTAGGTGGAGGCCAGCCTCATTTAAATAGTGAGTTTCAGGACAGCCAGGGCTATGTAGAGAGACCCTGTAACAAAACAAAACAAAACAAAACAAAACAAAAAAACCCATTTAAATTAAAAATGCTGAAGAGAAAAGTTGAGGAAATCTCAGTGCCTGGAGTCAAAGGAAAGAATTCATAAATGATATTTAATTCCAATAAGTATCCATCCATAGAGTTCTAAGAGAAAGTGCAGAAATGGATCTTGCATACTTGTACTCCTGGCTCCAAAAGCTATTTGCCAAGGTCCTCATCTACTATGTTTATCTTGTGTGCATCTTTTAATATTCTTTGTGTTTTTTGATATTGTTGTATGGTGCGAGATGGAGGTGTGCTTTTTACCTCAGGAGCGGATTGATGAGTATGATTACTCCAAGCCCATCCAGGGACAGCAGAAGAGGCCCTTTGAGGAACACTGGAGGAAGCACACCCTCTCATACGTGGACGTCGGGTCTGGGAAGGTATGTTGGCATCACCCAGGGATGTAATGAGCCTGTTTTGCCTTTGATGGATGACAGTTTAGGAAACAACCTAGTTCTAAACCAGCTGTTAACAGATCTGAGATAGCACCAAAAGAGAATAATGTGAGTAATGCTTCTTGCTAGAAACAGAATCCAGTTCCTGGGTGGTTCAAGGGGACCCTTAGTACAGGACCAGCCCTCATCTTCTGTGCCAGATAAAGAGCACTGGGCAGTGATCAGATGTCTAAGACGAGTAAGGAAGAAGTGATGGCTGTTATACTGTTTACATCACTGTGGTTACATCCTGGCATGAATAACTTAGAGAATAAAGATTTACTTTGTCTCCCAGTTTCAGAAAGTTAAGGCCATGGTTGCTTGGACTCAGTCACTTAAGCAGAGTGTCATGACATACAGCTGCTCAATTGATAGCAGGAAGCTAAGGCAGAAGAGCTTGAGTTGGAAGCCAGCATAGGCTATAGATGGGGATGAGGTAGGAGGAGTTACCGTAATTCACATAGCTAGCAAACTTGAGACTCCTTTTTGTAAGGTTCTCATGCCTGTAAATGTACTTTGATGGTTTAATTTTATAGAAGCACAGAAGAAATGGCTTTTTATAAATTTTCATGCCTTGATTCACCCTGACTCTTTTCTCCAAGGTTACTTTGAATTATAGACCTGTTATTGACAAGACCTTGAATGAGGCTGACTGTGCCACCGTCCCTCCTGCTGTCCGTTCCTACTGATAAAATCTGACAGCTACAGGACCAGCTTATGTGATTATGTATTGTGGCTTACATAGGTTCTCCTGTCATACTTGCTAAATTCTACTCTGTGAATAAGGAGTCACTTCATAGGTTATTGGTCAACAGATTGCTTGTACTTGATGTGAGGGACAGCTGCACCAGACTTTGTCCCTTTATTTTTGTGCGTTAATAAAACTGGCATAATTCTTAAATAAAATACAAATGAACAGTCTTTTATTTGTAAATAAAACCATGTAGTTTTTTTTTTTATTTTAGACATATCTGCAATAGCAAATACAATTTTCTTCCCCTGTCTCACCCCAGCAGTTGTGTTTTCCAAGTATTAACTTTCTGGTTTATTCTTTGTACCATATACTAAACTAGACTTTGGGGAATGTTAGGCTGTAATGGAAAATAAAATTGAGAAGTAGGGCAGGCCCTTAATAATTAGAAAGTTTGGATGTGGTAGGTATAGAGTATAGAGCCAGTGCCTTGTTTATGTTCCTGGTGGGCAGAGGTATACATGTGTGTTGATGTATATGTAAGGGAACAGTCTGGCCAGCTTTGTCAAGTTGACACAATCTAGCATCACCTAGGAAGAGAATCTCAATGAAGGATTGCTGTGATTAGCTTGGCCTGTGGGATTGTCTTGATTATGTTAATTGATAAGGAATACAGCCCACCATGGGCACTGCCTTTGCCTAGGCAAGGGATCCTGGACTGTGTAAGAACAAGCTAAGCACTCACAATGCATGCGCTCACTCATTGTCTTTTCGTAGTGTATGTAACTAGTTGCTTCAAGTTCCTGCCCTGACCTTCTTGAAATTAAAGTCTTTAACCAGAAATTGTAAGCCAAATAAACCCTTTCTCAAAGTTGCTTTTGGTCAGGGTGTTTTATCATAGAAAAAAAAAAGAAAAGAAAAGAAAGAAACTAGCATAGTACATTATTATGTGGAAACTAGAGCTTGACATTCGTGTTGTTGGACCAGAAGTAAAAGAACAGTGCTAGAAATCTAAAAATGACCTAGAAGTTTTGTGTCTGTTACAGAAAGTAGCCACAGAAAAGTTGCTTTTTATGCAGGAAAAGATGATTGTATTGTGTCCACACAGTGCTCATCACTATTAGAAAAGGATGGGCTGTTGGTATACACACCAGTATGAACGAATCTCAATCTTATTGACAAGGGTAAGGAGTCAAGCAGGTACATACTGATTCCACTTGACATCTAAAAACTGCAAACTAATGTAACAGCAGCATATCAGTAGCTCTATGCAGACTTGGAGAAGGAGATCCCAAGGATTAGGAGAATGTTTTGTGTGAGTATCATGTTTGTTGTTTTCTTCTAATTATACCTCAAAACTTTAAAAAGCAAAAAAATAGAAAAGCTATACTAAGAATTTCTCAAAGCTAGACATGGTGCTACTTGTCTATGCTCTCAGCACTTGAGAGGCTGAGGCCGGGTTGTTACATGTTGGAGACCAGCCAGGTCTATATACCAAGACCTTGTTTCCAGAAAACAATAAGGAAAAGAACATGTCTCACCTATAAAATTGTTAAATATCCTGTAGTTCATTGTTCTACATAGCACACAAAGTGATGGTCTGCAAGGACTCTTGAACATGGCATTTGGGGATGCAGAGCATTAGAGCTTTGGTAGAAGAGAATTTTGTAATACCTAACAAAACTACTTAGGCATTTGCTGTAGGACTCTACCTTACCTTAAGGAAAGAGTCCTAGGAAGTGAAGCTCCTATTTTTCATAATCAGAGGCAGAATGGAGCTTACGATACAATAAGCAGGGCATGGTAGCACATACCTGTAATCTCAGACCTCAGTGTGAGGCAGGAGAATCTTAGTTTGAGGCCTTGTCTTAAATGACTACAAAGTTACAAACTTTGTATTGTCTTTTTAATATTAAGAACAACAGTTCATTGCTGGGGGATAGATGCATTCATCTAAGGTAGTGTATATCTGAGAGAAGGATTGAGGAAGATCTTGTTATGTGCCTGTCTTCCCAGTACTTCCGAGGCTGATGTCTCAGGGTTTAAGTTTGAGACATGGTGACTGGAAAAATGGTTTGGAGGTTAAGAGCTAATACTGTTCTTTCAGAGAACCTGAGTTCAATCCCCAGCACCCGTATTGGGTAGCTCTTAACTAATTTTAACTATTTCCAGGGGTATCTGATCCCTCTGTTCTCCTTGGACACCTGCACTCAGGTGCATACCTACACAGACACATAATTAATAATAATGAAAATGCAAGAAAAAGTTTAAGCCCAGCTGTGCTATATGGGATCTCTCTTTCATATCTCTCTCACATACACACTCACAAATGGCTTTATGTTCCGTACAATATAAAAGTATGATTGTTTGGTTGCTTTGAAAAACAATCTAACAAAGACATTAGGTAGATCTGAAACAAATTTTCCCTTCAGTATTGCAACCAAGACTTGCAATTCCTAAGGGGTTTGCACCCAAGAATTTGCATTCCTAGAATGACTAGGAACTCTAGAATGACATGGTCCAACCAAAAGGCAGGATATAGCCATTGGAAAGTTGTGACTACTTGGCCCCATTCAGAAGGTTTAATGAGTGCAAGGCTCTGTGGGAGTGCTAGATTTTCTTTCAAAATGCAGGTCTTTTACAAAATGAAACTTTGTAAAAGAAGCAACAAACCAGGTAAGTAAAAAAGTTGGGATACCAGATGTGATGGCACCTTCATATTCTGACTTGCACTGAGCAAAGTTTCATTGTAGCCACATGTAGCTAGTTACATTTTAATTAACTTGAAATTTAAAACTACTTCAGTTACACTGGTCCATCTTGTGCTCTGAAGCCTCATGTGGCAAGTGGCTATCATGTCAGAGCAAGCAGATTGGAACAAGTCCATCCATGGCCATTGGTGGTGTGTGGACATTCGCTGCTTCCTCAAACCAACTAGCACACATTTGATACACTCAACAATGGTCACTAAGAAGCCTGAGTTTCATAAAAACTGAGGTGGTTCTCTTTCATGCTAAATTCAAATCAGAATATTATTGGAGCCAAGGGACAAAGCTTCATTATTCATCTGAGAAAGAAGTGTGCTGAGCTCTGGCCCCAGAGGCTGTTCAAGGAAGGAAAGGTTACTTTAAAAGGACTTGTCTTCCCTGTGCAGATGTCATGCAGTCAGCTTGGGAAAGTGAGCAAAGGAGCCATGTGGTTTAGAGTACTAAGTTAGAAGTACGCAAAGATATGCACGCATCTGTGCATACACAAAATATCTGTGCAAAAGAAAGGACAGTGACTCACCCATTTCATGGCTAAATATTGTGGAATGCATCAGGCATCTCAGCTCCCAGAAAGGCAATGTTTACAAAAGTTCTAAAAGAAAATAAAACTCTCAGAAAAATTAGGCTAAAGGAAAGACTGGCCCAGTATGCAGACACATGATATGATTAGCATTGTAGGAGGGAGGGCGGTGTTATCTCACTTATTTCTCAACTCCTGGAAAGCTTAGACCAGACCTGGTTAGGAGGAAACCGAACCTGAGATAGGGTAGGGAGATAGATGGTGGCCTGGAAGACAGCTACCTATAAGTTGCTGAAGAAGGTGGTCTCCTCAGGACAGGACCTTTATAGCTGTCCAAGCTGGAGACTTGTCAGCAAACAGGTAGTTAAGTCCCAGAAAATGTTGGACTCCAGTCTGCTAAAGTAACTGCTTCCAGCTGAAGTTTCTCTGTACTAGGAACTTGCAGCTCACATAGCAAAATTATGGTTGTTAATATTTTCGTATTTCTGGAGAAGAGAAAAGGAACCAGAGATGGGACAGAATAAAAATGGAATTCAAGAACTGGAAAAGTCTAAAGGATGTTTCAACAAGTAAGGTGAACAGTTCATGAGAAATTTATAAAATGACAGATTTACAAAATGAATTCACCAAATCATGGGGGGAAATTTCCTTGAATTTTGTAGATTTAAAGGTAAATGCCAGAGCTGTGTGAGATGTTTCTTTGAATCTGAAAATCTCAAATAGATGTCTCATGGACAAGAACAATAAAAATGGGACAGAAAATGATACAGTTAGGAGTTGATCAGATCTAAAGCTGTGCTAAATAATGGATGATTGTCCACGTGGAAGTTTCAGTGTACAAGGCCATACCCTTGGCCCATGGTGTGTTCAGCCTCAGCAAATAAACTACAATCCCACAAAGACAGCAGAGCAATTCTGATTATGATAAATCAGTCTTCACTGGATGAGAAATAGGAAACCCGGAATAATCCTGTGGCAGAACCTGGGGTGACTAGTATCTTGAACTATACACAGCACAGAGATCTAGGTGGAAGGATGGATGGCTTGACAGCATATGAGTACGACTGTTGGTTAGTTACCCAATGCTGTGCATTCTCCCGTCCAGGGGCATTCCAAATTATAAAAGCATCATAGAATTAGTATCCAGAATGAAGGAGTGCTTACAGTTAAAGGACTTAGCACCAAAACTGTTAAGTTATCTCAGTACAGAAGTCCAGGTAAGGGCGGTGAGGTCACAGACAAATGAAGCTCTCGCCTCAGGACCAGACCTGACTGGGACCACTTACAAATGAAGTCACTTGTGCAAACGCAAGGAGACAGGTTCAACCTATAGAAGGAAGTGGGAAGGCGGGAGGATGGAGTACGGACAGATGAACAAAGTCCAGAGAACTCAAAATGTCACTTTGAGTTTCCGCCGAGAACTTAGCGCGGTTGGCGCACGTCACATTCACGGCAATATCTATGTAGACGTAACGGGGAACTCATCAACGCAAGTGAAGCGTTCACCACTTTCCTTCTAAGTCGTGGCATTTTGTAAGCTCAGTTGGCTCCGCGCTGTATGCTCTCTCTTCCGAGCCCAGCCGCCGCAGCTCCTGGTCAAGACCAGCTACTGGGCTGGGCAGGAGGGCGGGGCAGGGCCGGGCTAAAAGGCAAGGGACACTGGATGCTCTGCTAGCTGAGTAGGAGGGAGGCCGGGCTAGCCGCGCCGCGCCCCAGACGTTGCCTGGCAACTGACCACGCCTGCCAAGTGACTCAAAGGCACGCGCTTCCGTTGTTCCCAGGAAGTTGTGCGCTTCTGGTCCTGCCCCAGGCGGAGGCGGAAGCACAGCGTTTGGAGTTGGTCTGCTGTACCGCTGTGCATCAGCCCATGGCAGCCTACTCCTACCGCCCAGGCCCGGGCGCTGGCCCTGCTGCCGGAGCGGCGCTGCCGGACCAGAGCTTCCTGTGGAACGTCTTCCAGCGGTGAGTACGGTGGCGCCCAGCTCCTCCGGCCCTTGGGTCGGTCTTGGGTTTCCAGGGCCTATTCTCCCGTCCTCCCTGCCCTTCTCTCCGTCCGACTTCCCTCGAGGTCCTTTCCTACTCCGCTCCATCCTCGACTAACTCTTCTACAGTAGCGCAAGACTCAGGATCATGTTGGCAGTTCCTTTTGCTTAGGGCTGAGGGGCGCGCACCAGCCGCCCAACGGGGTCTGGGGTGCCTGCGTTAGAAACAGACCAAATCTTGAGTCAGGAAAACGGCAGCAGTAAAAATTGCTGGCTGCTATGCAGCGTCTTCTGCCTCTGGTCGTCCTTCTGAATGCCTGATTGTCACTCCACTGAGTCGTGGCCAAGGTATGACTTAATCGTCCTAGAGAATCTTTACCTATTACGTAAAATATGAACTGGTGTAGGTGTAAATTAAGACAGATTTGAAGAATTAAGAGAAAGCTTGAAAAGGGATAGAAAAAGGTGATTCAACCTCTCCATACTGCTTCTGGCTGTTCCTTAGTGTCTGGAACACCTGGAGGCGCCGTGACATTCAAACTGAGCTAAGAGACCGGTCTGGCCAGAGTAATATCCAGACCTAGTGTAGATGGATAGAAACGATG